AGTGAGAAAGAGAAAGCCCAAGATTCTAAAGAAGTACCACTGGTTTAGATTGAGAGAGAGAAATCATAATCAATTTCATGTTAGTTTCAAATATAATTAGAAAGAAGGTAAGCTTGTAACAAATACAAAAGATGATGGCTAAGATAATGACGATTACATTTTTATTCTCCATTTGTCAGTAGCCACAATGCCAACCGCTAAACCCAAATAAGAGGTTAAACATGGGGAGGTTTGAGAGAGAGGTTTGGGGGAAACATAGGGAGAGACAGAGAGGGTTGGGGGAAGCACAAGAGAGAGATGCAAAGCTCTAATACCACTTGTTGTGAAGCACAACAACAGAGATGCAAAACTCTAATACCACTTGTTGTGCTCTGATACCACTTGTTGTGTGTGGAAGCTCTAAACTTGATAGGTTAATATTTAGCAAATAAAGTATGAGAAATGAATCATGAAATACATACAACAAGAACACAAATATTTACGTAATTCACCCAAGAGGGTGACATCAGGGGTTACGTAATTCACCCAAGAGGGTGACATGATTTTGGAACAAACCTCAACAAAAATCCCAAGTCAAGAAAACCCTTATAAACAACTCTTCATTCTTTCTCTTTAACGACTCTTTATTCTTTCTCTTTACTTCTGACAATATAGACAACACAAGATAGAGACGCGATAACAACATAATATAATACTGACTTTCTCTCTGACTAAAAGGGGAACAACCCAAAATCTCTATGGGAACCGCTTATCTACAAAAAACAAATAAGACTCTCAATATTCGGGGCCCAAAGAGGCATCATCACAATATTTTTGTCTAAATAAAGCTTTTTTCTCTCTAAAAAGAAATCATCACAATATTTTTGTCTAAATAAAGCTTTCTTCTCTCTAAAAAGAAATTGCAATCTTATGTACAGGATACTCTAGCTCCATATCTTTTTAGAGGAATCACCATTCTCATATGGTGACCCAAATATGGCTGACAAAAATTCTCTGCATTTTCATCCCATATATATAAGATTATGAATCCATAGGAAACTTCTCATTAATGTTATATATATCTCAAAAGATCAAGACATATATCCATCAAATAGTCCTAATCGTTTTGGATTTCTATTTCTTTTAGAAACTTATCAAATATCAATCTCAATCCTTATTAAAATATCTCAATCCCCATATAACGAATATTTCAATCTCATAAAATATGGGATTTCTTTATGTGGGTGATTAACATATATCTCAATCCCTCAAATATCTCAATCCCACAAAATATGGAATTTCTTTGTGGGTGATTTTATCTCAATCCCTGATTTAATCTCAATCCTACAAAATATAGAATTTCTTTATGTGAGTGATTTTGGATAGCACCAAATCCAATAAGAGACAGGTATTTGACACCGAATCATAAAGGAGAGAGAGGCTTGGGAGAGAGAGAGGAATGAGTTTAGAAATGAATAAAAAATGAGGTCTTTTTTCATTTTGTTTGGGCTAAAAAAAGAGCTCTAAAGAGTAAAGTTGGCCTAAGATATTAGAAAATATAATAAATAAAATCTCTATGCAACAAATATATTTTTTAAACTATAGGTCTATTGAGAAGGGAAACTTAAAAGGAGAGTGTATGAAGATATTTTTCCTAAAAAATAACACTTAATGATTTTGTATGTAAGTTGAGAAATGAAACATAAAAGGAAGATGTAGGAGATATTTTTCCTACACAGCAACACTTAATGATTTGTAAATTTGACTCTTGGATTGATATTTTGCCTTTATGTTTTTGTAAACAAAAAAACTTAGTATACCCGTTAATGATTTTACAAAGTAATTTGAACCTTGAATCGAGTTTTTCCCTTTATGCATTTGTAAACCAAAAAATTAGTATGTCCGTACAGGAACAAAAAAGGCATCCCCTATATGCTTTTGTAAACCAAAAAATTAGTACGTCTCTGCAGGAGCAAAAGGGACAGTTGCTCTCTTGAACAAAATTCTAACTTGGAGTACTTTTAGTATGCCGATCAACCAATAAAATAAAAACAATTGCAAACACACAACTTAGAACTTTATGAAAAAACAACACACTATAAATAAGGTCACAATTACCTTTAACTATTTGATGTAAAATCGGATAGCTTAAATGTGTCCCAAAAGTCAAGAAAACTTTCTTTTGTACTTTGAGCTTGGCTAATGACGTAAATGTAGCCACTCAATTTGATAGAAAATTCCAAAATACATGATAGAATCTTTTCTTCGTAAGGTTTTGCTTGGGGGTGGCAATTGGTCGGGTCAAATCCGGCTAAACCTCGACCCAAAAAATATATGATATATTTACCCATACTTAAATATATTTCATAAATTGGGACCTGAAAAATATTACTGAACACAGACTTGAATAGAATTCGGATCCAAAATTTGAACCCAGACCCGACTTATTGGGTCCAAAAATTGGACCCATATCCAGATCCAGATTGAGCCCACCCCTCTGATCGGCACCGGGTGGTCCAAAATTTGAACCCAGTCCTGACCCGTTGGGCCCAATTTTTTGACCCATATCCAGATCTAGATTGGGTCTACCCCTCTGATCATAACCGGGTCCATTGCCGCCCCTAGTTTTGGGGAGAGAATATGCATTTTCATGGTACCATACTAATCTTTTCCATTCAATTCAAAAAAAAGATAAAAAGATGAAGCCACAAAGCCATTGTTTAATCTTTTCCATTCAATTTAATAAAAAGATAAAAAGAAGAAGTCACAAAGTCATTGTCCTAAACAAGTGGTTTTCTTAAAAATGATAAAAGGAGGATTTACAATAGGACCCAATTTCTTGACGACCAAACCCGTATAGGTAGAAAAATGAAGGCTTATTAATAAATTTATTTTTGAGATGGATTTTTGTACTTAATTTTTGAAGATCATGAATATTTTTAACTTTTTAAAAGTAGAAATAATAGTTCTAGTAAGAAAACATTCCCACCGTGAGTTTCCATTGTTTTTAGATTGAACACCTACTTACGTTCATCTTTTATGGGTCATTTGGGTACCTGAATCTATTACGTGACAATAGATTACAAGGAAATATCGCGTTGTTTGGGTACTTGAAAATCTATTACATGATAATAGATTATAAAGAAATATGTCATTTCCACTACACTTAATAGTTAAATGAGATTTCTCCAAAAATCTATAAAGAAATATGGCATTTCTTTGGATATATACGTAATAGTTAAATGAGATTTCTCCAAAAATTAGAAAATTTATTAGGCGTGAGATTTCCCAAAAACAATAAATTTATTAGGCGCGTCGAGATTCCCCAAAAATCATAATCATGAAGTCCATTACGCACGCGGTGATAAGTGAAAAATATATTACGAGCGGAAAATATATTACAAGAGTGACAGGTAATTTTAAAAAATTACGCACGTGGTGATAAGTGAAAAATATATTACGAGAGTGACATGTAATTTTAAAAAATCTTTTGTGTATTTTTTACTACCAAAAAAATCTTCTAAATCTTCTCTCTTCATAATAACTAGATGATCCCTCTCTATTTAAATTCGTCCTTGTCATATAAAAACAAAAACAAAAAAAATATAAGTAATCAATGATAAATTACAAAACACAATCATAATAAAAAATTTCACACAACATAATCCCTCCTCGTCCCCTCATCTAATATAAAAACAAAAATAATAAAAATAAAAATCAATAATCAATAATAAATTACACAACACAATAATAATAAAAAATTTCACACACCATAATCCTCGTAAGAAATTACTAAAATCTCAATTGAAATAATATACATCTTTAGTCTCCCCTAATACTTCAAAATTTTATACTACAATTACCAAACCTTCTAGTTTACTAATCAAACTTCCTTCTCGTTTAGAAATCAAACTTTTTCCCATTTTTTAACTCGTACCCTACACATTTTGAATTTAGTATCATAAATCTATTGTTTATATAATGAAATCAAACTTTTTCCCATTTTTTAACTCATACCCTACACATTTTGAATTTAGTATAATAAATTTATTGTTTATTTGAAATTATATGGAGAAACATTTGAAAGACTTTTATATAAAATAAATAAAAATAAAGTTTATCATAACAAAATCATGTTATTCCAATCATATCGACTTATCATGTTGAAACCAATGTCAGGTTAGAAAACATGTGCGTCAAGATGGTAAAATAGTACAAGTTGTTTTTAGAAAATTTTTTTGGAATGCTGATAATGTTATTATTAGAAATATTTTTGAAATGGTGTGATGATGATTTTAATTCAGTATGTTAATAGAATTTTGTGACAAAAAAAGAAAGAAATGATAATTCTGCATTTTAGTGAAATTTTGTGACAAAAAAGAAAAAAATGATAGTTTATAAGCAAGTGCTAATAAAATATTGATAATACATTTCTTATATTTCTTCCAGACATAGCCAAACAATAACAATGTATTTCTTAAGTTTCATCTAAATACTGCACAAATAGTAACAATCCATTTACAGGTAATATATTATATCAATAATATATTTTACAAACAATATACCAAGTATCCAAATAATGGATGCTTTATATGTTTTTAGACCGCATATATGGGGATGGAGCCCAGCCTGCATAAAACAATTTTCCTATACAATATTGATCGACAATCCGTGCTAAACAAGCGGTTTTTTTAAACAGATAAAAAAGATAAAGGAGGATTTACCATATTGATTCACAAAATCAAAGCCGCAAAAAGCATATCCCCACTTTATAAGAGGGAAGGGGACGGACCATTTATGATCAAACTTCCCAAACTGTATAGCACAATTTATATTCAACATTCACAAGAAAAAAAAAATCACATTAATCGTGTCTATCTGCTAGCCTGCAACAAAACCAAACTGTACAGCAGAATTTACATTCAACATTCACAATAAAAAAAAAAAATCACATTAATGGTGTCCATTCAACATTCACAAGGACAAAAAAAAAAAATCACATTAATGGTGTCCTTTCAACATTCACAAGAAAAAAAAAGATTCATATTAATGGTGTCTTTCTGCTAGCGTCCAACAAAACCAGTGTTCTGCTCTAGAACCCTACCCATCCAACCGGTCATCAAGAAAACCGATTTAGAAAACCGATTTGTGCTTTCAAACTCAGATCCGTCACCTTATGCCGGTTTTAAAACACTTACAAAAATTTATGATCCACAAAGCTAAATTCTATGCCTTCTCTTTTTTCAGTCTGACAAAGAAAATGCTATGCCTTCTCTGCAACAAAAAAAAGCATCCGCCCCCAATCCTACTTTTCAACTGAAAAGCTAATATGTCATACTGTTAAAAATCCAGGCCAAAAGGAATCCACAAACCGCCAGGGCCGAATACGGGTTAGAAAGACCTTTGCATGCAGCATTGCTGTGGCCGTGAGACCCGGCCGCTCCGCCGACTATAATTGGAAAAACTCGGCCACCTCCGCCCCCCTCTCCCGTCCTCGACCACCACCACGACCACCGCCAGATCCTCCACGGCCGCCACCATGGCCGCCTCCTTTCAGAAAACGCCTTGGAATAGTTTGGCCACCCTCTCCTTCGACAAATTCCTCCCCAAATACGCCGCCAACTTTGGTGGTGCTCTCAACCACTGGAAATCCCTCTCCGATTCCGAAGCCAGTTTCAGAATCGGGAGATTTTGAGTCAGGTTGAGATGAAGTCTCGAGCACTAGAAATTTCATATCAAAGTCGGGCTCAGTTTCGAATCCTTGGTCCTCCTCCTCTGTTGTGGTTTCTGCAATACAGTAAATCGAGGAGTCAGTTAATGTTTTCTTTTGAGAGAAAATCGTGAAAGAAATTGGTAATGGGAACTGTTACATTCGAAAAGAAAAGCTATGAAAACTCTTATGTTTTAATTTTGGAAAAAATGGGAAAAAAAAAGTTGGGGGAATCTAAAAAGCATCTTAGATCTTTACTTACCATTCTTTTGCAGAAGGTTGTTAGGGTCTGCTTTCTTCACTTGAAAACAGAGTGAAAAAAGAAGGATAGCACTTGCAATTGCAATTCCATTACTCCCCATCTGCTTTCTCTCTCTATCCTATCTCTCACACACCCTCTTCCATTTACTCTTCTCTCTCTCCCTTGCCTCTGAGTTTCTCTCTTCTTTTTCTCCCTTGCCTCTGAGTTTCTCTCTTCTTTTTCAGATTCTTTCTTTATTCAGTCGCTGTAGCTTTCCTCTTTACTTCTTTAGTTTATGGTTTCTCACTCTCAAAAAATGAGTCTGTTATTCTCTCTCTTACAGAGTAGCAGGAAAATCTTGATTTTAAGGCAGTTACTGATAAACGAATGAACGGCTCCAGATATTGATTGAGAAATTTCTGTGTGGTTTCCAGAAACCTTTCGGCCGAAACATAGATAATCATCAAAAGGCCAATTCCTGAGTAAACATGCTTTTGTGCCTATTATTGGGAAAGTATTCCATTTCTAGAAAAAAAAAATGTATTGGGTAAGAGTGCACTTCTCCTAATTTTGTTGATTAAGTAATGATCCAATGCAAAGGTTGTATTATAATATAATACATCGATATTTTTAAAAAATTATGTTTGTGGTATTTGTATGGTTTTAAATTTTGCATACACACTTTCTTCATCTCAATAATCAATCTTTCAAAAAAAAATTCAATTTGAACTCTCGGTCAAAATGAGTCACCTCTAAAAATAAATCTAGACCATTCATTTTATGAATTTTAAGATCTTAGTCTTTATAAACTCAAAATAATTTTTTTCTCTTTTAACATTGTTCATCTAATGATAATAAAATCATCCAAAAAAATAAAATTGAAAAAAGTCTTCTAAAGCCTAAATCTAAGCATCTTTCTAAAATAAACAGTCTATATTAATTGGGTTAAAAAAATACTTTTTAGGTTGTATTTTTAAATTTTTTTTTATAATTATTCATTAAAATGAAAAAAATGTATATTTTAAATTTTAAATCAAACAAATAATTATAAATTAATTTTTTTAAATTATTGTATCATAATACTATATAACAGTCGCACGAAATCATTGCCCTTGCTTATTTTCTCAAGTGTTTCAATTTTGGATTTGTTTATTTTTTCAAGAGTTTCAATTTTGGATGAACTATTTTGAAAATCCATGCCGTAAGCAATAAGAAAGTCGCGAAAGAATACGTGTAACAGGGACGACCAAACACATGGATCGCATACGGTAGTCCCTCATTAGCTTTTGTATGTTGGAACTTTACAGGTGGTGTGGAGCATAGTCATACACATTGCATGTACTCTTCTTGCAGAAAAAGTGACATGTGCCTAATCACGCCGTTATTGGAGAAAAGGTCCAATCCAAACCAGACCCAAGCCTGATTCACTGGTAAGTGGCAATTATTTAGTATGATCTATAAAAGACCACCTTTTTACTGTATTTATGTTCTATCATATCATATATTTATTACATGCTCTCGTAACGTTTAATAACCATAAAAATCCAACAAGCACCCCATCACTTAAAAGATAAGGGTGATCATGATATCCTTAAGAAGGACAACCATGAAAGCAAGAACTAGGGATGTCGCCTTGACACTAACCTGAATGCCACATAGCAAGAAAACTATTGGGGGGACGGAAGGTGGTCAAAGGCCGCCAAACAGAGAAAATATAGGTCCATGCTTAGTGGCTCTTCATTTTGTATGCTTGTGAACCTCCCGAATAAGAGCCATGGGCCTTGGAATTGTAACCAATTCTGATATGTTATGGAGCATATTATAAAAGGCAATGATTGAAAGTAGCACAAGTGAGTGTCGAAAGAAAGATCTATGTGATCTTTTATCTGATAATATATATATATATTTTTTGTTTTTGGTAAAAGATCACTTATAAGTGTTTTTTATTATAATAAAATAAACTTCAAAATAAAATTAACATAACAATAAAATCAAGATCTTAATAACTTAATGTTATTGAAATAACTATGCATTATGTCTGAGAATAAAATATAAGATTGTAACAAAAAAAAAAAAAGTGTGTCACAGATTTCTTCAACTGGACTTATTACACCCCACACCGAGTCACCACAATCCGATTACGTGGGATTAACGATCTAGCTTCAATCTCGTACCGAAAAAGAAAATTTCAGCAAAGCCACACTAATGAAACATGAACCCCTTTTATCACAAACTCAAAACCCTAGGTGAATTCTCTTAGCAAAGTAGTTTGAGAGAGATGGATTATCTTTTTGTTAAACCCTAAAACCCTTACTCATAAATCTATATTTGAGAGATAAGAGAGAAGAACTCGATAACCTAAAACCTTACGTTCTTTCACAATATGAGAGAGAGATCAAACATGATAGAATGGTGTTGTAACAATCCTAAAATTTCAAAAAAAAAAAAAGGGAGAAAAGATGCTTTTAAATAGGTGATTGTCTGTTTGAGTATGATGGTCCTTGGAGACCATCACTATTTTCAAAAGTTTTTACTTTGGTTTAAACTTTTGCTTTTGCCTGTTGCTATT